TCCTGCTGAGGCCCAGGACAGCTGCTGAGGCCGCAAGATTTGTGCTGACGGGGACAAAATGGCTCCAGCGGGCACCGGGCCAGCGGCCCCAGGCCAGGATGGAAGCCGGCTCTGGGCGCCCTACCTTTGTCCTGGCTGCTCCGGGCCGTGGCTTCAGGCTTTGTGACGGTGAGAAAAGACTTTCCCACCCCTTCGCTCAAAAATCCCCAAACCATTTCGAGGAAACTAGTCGCATCTCTACACCCGGACCACAGCTGGGGGGGGAGAACGCTGGGGGGGGGCTCTGCCGCGCAACGGCGGTGGGGCAGGGGGTGCGGTGAGGGCAAGGGCCCGCGGAGGCGGGCGTGAGGGTCAGTTTTGCATCCCGTTGGCCAGGCTACAAGCCCAGGTGTTTGCCCAAACACTAGTCTAGGTGTTGCTGTGAAGGTGTGTTTTTTCATATATGTATTGATTACAGTGGTGAAATTAGCATAAAATATTACTCAGAAAAGGAAACTAACATATACTGAACGTCTGTCATGAGCCACAGTCTTTACATTTGCTCTTTTTTTTTTTTTTTTTTTTTTTGCGGTACGTGGGCCTCTCACTGTTGTGGCCTCTCCCGTTGCGGAGCAGAGGCTCCGGATGCGCAGGCTCAGTGGCCATGGCTCACGGGCCCAGCTGCTCCGTGGCATGTGGGATCTTCCCGGACCGGGGCACGAACCCGTGTCCCCTGCATCGGCAGGTGGACTCCCAACCACTGCGCCACCAGGGAAGCCCCATTTGGTCTTTTTTGTATTGTTTGTGGTACAAAGCACAAAACATAAAATTAACCATCTTAACCATTTTTTAAGTGTGCAGTTCAGTAGCGTAAACTATACGCTTGTTAGGCAGTAGATCTCCAGAACTTTCCGTCTTCCCAAACCGAAACTCTGTCCCCATTAAACACTCACTCCCCAGCCCGACACCCACCCTCCTGCTTTTCTGTCTATGGATTTGATTCCCCTAGGGACCTCGTGTGAGTGGCATCAGACGGTATTTGTCCTTTTGTGTCTGGCTTATTTCACTCAGCATCATGTCCTCTAGGTGCATCCATGTTTTATAGCAGGTGTCAGAATTTCTTTCTTAAGGTTGAATAATATTTCATTGGATGAATAGACCACATTTTGTTTATCCGTCAATCTATGGACATTTAGGTTGCTTCCACCTCTTGGCTACTGTGAATAATGCTGCCGTGAACGTGGGGGTCATGAAGGGTTTTTTCCATGTGATTAACATGGAAATCTGTAGATCTGAGTAAAGCAGATGACCCTGATAACGTGGGTGGGTCTCACCCGAGAAGAGTGGAGGCCTTAAGAGAAAAGCCTGAGGTCGCCAGGAAGGAGTCCTGCTGTGCACAACCTCTGGCCCTGAGCTGCAGCCTCAGCTCCTCCCTGGGTCTCTAGCTGCTGGACAAGCCACAACCACATGAGCCAGTGCCTTAAAATAAGTCAGTCTCCCTCCCTCCCGCTCTCTCCCATTGGTCTGTTTCTCTGCAGAGCCCTAATCAGGTCAGAGGGTGACCAAGGGCGGGGACCCAGGAAGGCCAGAGCAGTGTGCTCCCAGCACCTGGGCATCTGTGCACAGGCCCCCAGGACCACCCTACCCCACGGCAGGGCACATGGTGTGTTCTCCGGGCGGATCTGGACGGAACCATGGGCTCCCCTAAGAGAATGGCTGAACTCGCAGACTAAAACCCCAGGCCAGGGGGAGGGGAAAGTCCATGTGCGCAGCAGGGAGGCCCTAGCCCCTCCCTCAGTGCCCCCACCAACACACACACGCGGTGCAGACCAGTCATGCTCTCCTGGAGAAGAGAAGAGACCCACAGACACTGCCACTGGGGGTCCCCAGTAAGAAGACACTGCAAGCCCCACACCTCCGGGGGGACCTCAGGTGCAGACCCAGCTCACTGACCACTGTGGCCCCATGTGGGACACTCTGAAGGGTGCTCATTCCAGAGCCTGTTGGCTGGCCCGAGGCTTCCTGCAGGACAGCTGGACTTTGCCCCTAGCCCATGGCCTGTACCCCACACCCCACCTCGGGGGCTGCTTCTGGACAACCCAGGGTGCAACCAAATGGGCTCTGGAGATGGGTCCCTCGCTGCCCAGATGGCACAAGGCGCCAGGCATGGGGATTGTCCCTGTGGTGCGTCACACTGGAAGGGGATGAGAGGCCCAGTGGCTGCTGCCCACACATGAAGCTCCACACAAAATCACCAAGGTGGAGGGTGGGTCAGGAGTGGGGACTTGAAAGCTGGGGTGAGTGTGAGTGTGGGTGTGGGTGTGAGCGTGGGTGTGGGTGTGAGTGCAGGGGTGGGCATGGGTGTGAGTGTGGGTGTGGGTGTGCGTGGTGTGGGTGTGCGTGGTGTGGGCGTGGGTGTGGGTGTGAGCGTGGTGTGGGCGTGGGTGTGAGCATGGGTGTGGGTGAGTGCGGGTGTGAGTGTGGGTGTGAGCATGGCTGCGGGTGTGGGTGTGGGCGTGGGTGGGTGTGGGCGTGGGTGGGTGCGGGTGTGGGTGTGGGTGTGTGAGTGCAGGTGTGGGTGTTAGCATGGGTGTGGGTGTGGACATTGGTGTGAGTGTGAATGTGGGTGCATGTGGGTGTGAACATGGGTGTGAACGTGGGTTGGATGTGACCGTGGGTGTGAGTGTGGGTGTGAACGCCGGGTGTTATTGTGCTGAGCGCTGGGTCTCTGGTTGCCTACAGGTCTCTGCTCCCCCAGGCAGTGGAGGGAGGGCAGAGAACCGCAGTCCCAAGCCCAGGACTTGAGTGTCAGAGTGGCTGACCTTCAATGACACCTGTTGCCCATCAAAGTCGAGCCCTGGTGGGACAGCAGGGGCCTTGACATGTGGGCGGGACGTCAGGGTGGGTGACACCTCCTCCTCTGGAATTCTGGCCTTCAGGTCCTGCTTGGCTCTCCCTGTGAAGGGCTGGGCCCAGAACTGCCACCCCAGGGGAGCACAGTGCACAGGCCACGCCCCAACTGGAGCCAACATTTGTCCCCCTCAGGCCCCCCTCCCGCCGTGGCCACTAGGCCAAAAACCCAGGTAAGCTGCAGCTGACCCAGCTGAGAACAAGCTGGGCCTGACTTGGGTGGACAGAGGGACCCGGTGGCAGTGCTGGCAGGAATCAGGCGAGCACGGCTGGGCCGGGGGCTCCCTCGAGGGGCTGGAGCATAGCGGGGCGGGGGATGGGTAGGCACAGAGCTTCTCAGACCCCTCCCTTCTTTCCGCAGCCTCCGCCTGAGGTTCACTTGGGCAGCTGGGACAGCCACGTGGGGGCTGACACCTGGGCTCTGCCACAGCCCCCCAGCCTCCTCGCTCGCGGGTGACAAGGCTGCACCGTGACGTAGTCTTCCCAGGTCCCGGTGGACTAAGCCCCCTGCCCAAAGCCCCCTGCCCAGCTCTGGGACTGCCCCCTTCTGTCCCATCTTACTTCCTGTGCCCACGGAAAGGCTGCGTGCCCCCATTTTGAGCCGTTGTCACAGGGCTTGCTTGGGGGCAGCTCAGCCTGGACAAGGGGTGTCAAAGAAACCCAAACCCTGGACCACCAACCATGGAAGAGGTGAGGGATGCAAGTGTAAGATCCGGTAGTGTTCAGGAAATGGCCAGGGCTAGTGATTGAGATTAAAATGTAATGTGGGGACTTCCCTGGTGGCGCAGTGGTTAAGAATCCACCTGCCAATGCAGGGGACACGGGTTCAAGCCCTGGTCTGGGGAAGATCCCACATGCCACAGAGCAACTAAGCCCATGTGCCACAGCTACTGAGCCTGCACTCTAGAGCCCACAAGCCACAACTACTGAGCCCGCGTGCTGCAACTACTGAAGCCTGAGCGCCTAGAGCCCGAGCTCCTCAACAAGAGAAGCCACCACAATGAGAAGCCTGCGCACCGCAACGAAGAGTAGCCCCCGCTCACCGCAACTAGAGAAAGCCCAAGCGCAGCAACGAAGACCCAACACAGCCACAAATAAATAACTAAATAAATTTATTTTTTAAAAAAAGTAATGTGAAACTCTTAAGATAACCACTAAAAGACTAGAAATAGGTTGTATAACTTCCACATCTATGGAAGGAAAAAAGACTAAGAGAAAACGTAATGAACCTAATAGAATATAGGAAGGGAGAAGGAAGCATAAGAAAGGCAGTATAGGGGGGGACTTCCTTGGAGGTCCAGTGGTTAAGACGCTGTGCTCTCACTGCCAAGGGCATGGGTTCAATCCCTGGTCAGGGAACTAAGGTCCAGCAAGCTACATGGTGCAGCCAAAAATAAAAAATAAAATAAAGGCAGCATAACTAGGAAGCAAAAAGTAACGTAATAAAGGTAAACCCGGGACTTACTGGTGGTACAGTGACTAAGACTCCATGCTTCTAATGCAGGGGGCCCTGGTTGGATCCCTGGTCAGGGAACTAGATCCCACATGCATGCTGCAACTAAGAAGTCCGCATACCGCAACTAAGGAGCCCACATGCCACAACTAAGGAGCAGGTGAGCTGCAACTAAGGAGCTAAGACCCAGTGCAACCAAATAAATAAATAAATTTTTTGTTAATTAAAAAAAAATAAAGGTAAACCCAGGTAGGAGGTGGAGGAATTGGAGGAAGGCAGTCAAAGGGTAGAAACTTCCAGTTATAAGAAAAATAAGTACTATGGATGTAATGCACAACATGATA